TCTGTTCATCCTGCTTTCAAAAAGCATAGTGCATTTAGAACCAAGTGTATGATAGGATTTTGTTACCATAGGCAGAATGCCATTACATTATACAGGCAGTAGGCAGAATGTTACGATGATAGCATATTATAGTGTTAGAGTGGACCTACATATTCTACCAGCATGTCATTAGGGCAACTCTTCCTTCTTCTGCACACTGATGAAGACATGATGTTAAAAATGTGCATTTTTGTTGGCAGTGTCTCTGCATTAACCTCTTCTGCCAGGGCTTTCACCTGCTCTCCTGCCTGGCTGACAGAACTGCACCAAGGAAAATTTGTGTTTCTGACTTTTTAAGGAAATTTCTTTTTAATAAATTCCTTTAAATTCTTATATGTTATGATATCAGTCTGTGTTCTCACTGATGAATATTCACATAATCATATTGATTATTTACAGACAAACCTGAGACAGCTCTTGGGGCCATTTGTACAGTTGTAAGATTGCATTTTTTTCTTAATTCAAATGTGTATCTCTTTGCTGTGTAAAAATAAAGGTTAGTCACCATAATAATCATTACTCAAAATCTGATTTACTGGTAATACACAAAAAATCCTCCAGTGGAAACAGATGGATTTTTCTTCACTTTAACAGTAAAGATTGTACTCTTCAACAGCTGTTGAGAAGATTCTCTGAGACTTATTTTTCAGTTTCTTTCTGCTCCATATTAAAGCATTTCTCTAGTTCTCCTCTGGTTATCATCTTCTCTTTTACTGATTACTTCCTTACAACTTAAAATAATATTATAATTCTTGCAATTATGGATATTTATATTTTTTTGTTTCAGCATCTCTCAAATCATTAGTAAAAAGGTTTTCAAATAGTTTTTCTTTTTGAATTTATCCCTTTTAGTTAGAACTGAAAGAACTGGTTGCTCATATTCTTTCCTGATTTTTTGTGTCAAGTGTAAAAAATTCATAGGCACTAACTGCAAATGAGTGCTTCTTTCTTACTGACATTTTCATTAGATTTGGCTTTAACAAGTGTCCATCTTTTTACTGGTAAATTGTTGGTCTCTTTTGCTTTTTTGTAGAGGTCACCAAGTTGTTCAAAAGTTCTGTTTGTAATCAGGCAGGTTGTGTAGGATATACAGGTTACTGTGTGTAAACTAAAATCTGCATGTGTGTATAGAATATTCTCCCTGTGCAACATGCCTCAAAAAAATCTGGCTTCATGTGAGGCTGCCCTGCAGGTTTGCTGCTGTCCTGTTGCACATCACATCTCTCAGCAGTTTCATCAGGTTCACAGAAACTGATGTTGCTTCTTCAGTTCCTCTTGATCTCATCATCGCACTGGTATTTTGTGTGGCACTCTTGCCTTACATCCAGCTCAGTTCTCTTTCTTTTTTAAAGCAGTTTTTGGGGTGCACAGGGCACTGAATGGTGCTAGTGTTTGGTAGCAGGGACAGATAAAGCATTTTTAATTCATATGGGTAAGCAATTCTAATTCCATGGGCCCAGACAAAGGCATACAACCATGAACTGCACTGTAGAAGCAGCACATGGAGAATGTTACAGAATTTTATGTCATGAACTGTTATATCTTTTAATACATCATATATACATACCATGATTTACTGCTTTATTAAACCATTACAGTTAATTAGTATAAATGGACTAAAGGGGTAATTCCGTATGATTACTTCCAATGGCTTGCATGAGCTCTAAATTTTTAAATTACTGCTCAGAATAGCTATGAACTGAGCCCTGGCCATTTAGTTCACTATCCACAGGGAGCAGACAAGGCTATTCTCCTGGCATAGTGGGATGGCTCTTACACAGTTTGGAGACTGCTTCAAGGATAAGCTCCACTAAACCCTGATGCCCAAACATATTGCAGTAGTGTGAGACTGGCTGAAGGGATCCAGGAGCACTGGAGAGGATAATTCTAATTCCCTTCACCTCATGGGTAGCAACACCCATGGATGTAGGAGGTGTAGTACCATCCAAGGGGTAGGAGGTGGTGGCAAATGCAGTGGTAGAAAAGGGATCTTTTGTGCAGTGTTTTCTTCAGCAACGACTCTTTGCCTCCTCCAGCAGAAGAGAGAGTGAGGAGCTGCTGCACTGTTGTGTCAATAATACAGAGCAATCTGTGCCTTGCTGCTTAAGTCCAACATTAATGTCCCTATGTCAACTAATGCTCCATATCAATTCATATTTCTGAGCCAAGAAGAGCCCCAGTGACCATGTGACAAAAGCAGTAATCCAGCAAGGACAAAAGTGAAAATGTTGCTTTTCCTTACAAATCAAACAAAGCTGGGAAAAGCCGTGTTTTTACAAGCCTCCTATACATGTTCTTTGGGGTGGCTGGGAGACATCTGTCATGGCAAAGGAGAATCAGGTGACTCAGGCCTCAGAGGGGTAGTAAATCATTGCAGTCATTCTGAAAGGCTGAGAGCTTGAACATTCTCATTCTCCCTTAGAAAGTACACTGTAGAAAGTAGTACATTTTTTTTTCTTGTCACTTGTCTTGGACACTTCATCTTTCTTCAGACACTGGAGTAAGGAACCCTTTCTTAAACTGTACATAACCTTTCTTCAGAATTGTTTTGTATCACAGGCCTTAAAGCATTAAAAAATGTGAGAAGTTAATTTTTAAATACACACATAGAATTTTCTTATGGATTTGAGTGGTCTTTATCTGCTGGATTCTTTTCAGTTCCTCCACGAAAAAAATTGCAGTCATGTTTCCTATAATTATCGTGCTCGTTGTACAATGCCCTGTGTTTTTACTAAGGCTTGAAGACCTGCATTTCTCCTTGTATGCATTTTTAAAAGTTGTATCTAATCAGAGGAACAGAACAGTGTTAAAATACAGACAAGTTTGTAGCTGATCACTAAAATCCCTCTTCTGCTTATTGTTATAGCACCCACTAATATTTCACCAACTTCAGTGCTTGAAGGGATATGCCTGCAGCTTCTAGGATGAGGCCTGATTTTTGTTTTTCTTCCCAGGAACTGGCTTTGCTTATTCAAAAAAATACATTGTCAAAACAGCTAAAGAAAATTGGGTGCCCAGATCCTAATGATGATTTCATGTGGGTCTTTGAAGGTAACTGAGGCAAGCCAGCATACTTGGAGAAACATAGCAGCATTTCTCTTACGCTAAGGCATAGTGAGCAGGGGTTTGGATGTGTTGTGGCCATTCTGTGCAATGCTCAGGGGAGAGGACTCACCAATGCTGTTGATGTTTCTATAGAATATGATTTTTTTCACTCTGTTATGTTCCTCACCACTTCCTAGGATTCCCCCTGGAGATAATTAGCTATCATGCTGAAACACCTTCCCACAAACTGAATTTTGAAGAAAGGAAGCTGCTGGATGAGGATGTGTCTGTTGCTGAGGTTGAACAGTCAGCCTGTGTCCTTGAACAAAGCCCCCGATCTCAAAGGACTTTCTGCTGAAATATACAAACAGTTCCAGCAAATTTTGGAAAATTTCCTAACTAAAAATTGAATGAGTCATCCACATCAGTTTTATATCTGCTGTTAGCTCAGTTAATAGCCATGTATTAAGGAAAAATGACAAGAATCATGGAAGTTGTGTCTCCTACAGAGCTATTTTGTTACGCAGTACAGATAGTAAATTGCTTTGTAATCTATAATTCTGAACTTTTTTTTTCCACTTTTGTTCATTAAGAGTGAACTTTTTTCACATGGAAAGGACATGACTTGCACATTCAAAGGCTACATGTACCACACTGTACGCTGTATTCAGTATAGGACCAGAATTTTGAGTGAATATAGAAATAACTTTTCATAATGTACACTGGTGCTAACGTGGCATGGTAACCAAGAAATAAATTTATCTTGGTATATGAACATTCATCTTTTCCTTGGATACAATACAAATCAAAGAGAGTTGACTGAATATGATACTTAAATGCAGACTCTTGAAGACTAAGATAATTCTCAGATATAAATAACCCAACGTTTAAAATTAAGGCAGAAACTCCAAGATTGTCCCTACCTATAGTGTTGAGCTTTTGCAGTTTTGGATAAAATCCTCAGTCTGCTTGCATGAACCTGAACTTTTGTTTTGCTTATTACCTGCTGTTTACTTAAAATACCTTGCTGACCAAAAGTAATTCACTTATACCTGGGTGTGTATCCTTTCATATTCTGAAGGGGAAATTGTGTTCAGTAATTCTCCTTGTGTTGTCTTGCCTGGCATGAGAGGAAGGAAAATACCACATGAATATTTTACGGTCCAGTCCAGTTCTGAACTCTGATCCAAGCCCTGATCAATGGATGTTGTGGTTTAAAGACTTGTTGACCAAGAACAGATGAATGCAGTAAGATTTTGAAGCAGGCATGATTTGTTTCCCACCCCATGAGACAGCAACATGCGCTGTGCTGATTGACCATGGCCTCATTTCTATAGAGCTGTAGCAGACAAATCAATTGTTCAGCAGTCTGTTTCCTTAGAAGTAAAATAAATCTATGTGATATAAAAAGAATAAAATACTTAGCAATATTATGGCTATTTTTGTAATTATCTCAAATAGTGGCCTGTTTCCTGCAGCTTTGAGTCAGGCAGGGGAGATGTCTAGCTCTGAATTCTACCCTTTAGTAAATGATAGTTGCAGTTCTTATGAGAGCAAAAAGGAAAGAAAACATTCCAATTGACTTGGTATCTCTTAGAGACACAACAGCAGGGTGCCAGTGTTACCTGCAGTACCTTGGTAAATGCCTGCGCGCATAGGTCAGCAAAATGCTGTGGGATCTGCAGCTCTAAGAACAACCTACCCAGTTCTGTGGCCCTTGGTTTTTTCCAAACTATACCTTAAAGATGTGGTGAGTTATTTTCCACATACATGCGATGGGTTGGTAAAACAAATGTGTAGTGATTCACAGAAGATTTGATTTAACCCATTCCCGAGTGTCAGAACACACCTCTCTCCTCCATTCAGAACCTCGGGAGCTGACACTTGACCTAGCGTTTGTTGCATTCACTTTCCAGATCACGTGAATGGTCACTGTACAAGCCCAACATCCCAGAGCTGCAGTTCAGGCAAACGACTTTCCAGTGCAGATGTGTCGAGAGCAAACCGCCGAGGGCCCGGCAGGCCCCCCTTCAGGAAAGCCCAGTCTGCAGCCTGCATGGAGATTTCTCTCCCAGTCACCACGGAAGGTGGGTGGCAATGACTGTTTCGCCAGGTATTTGTGAATTTCTCGCCAGGTGTGAAAGGGAAGAAGTTCAGCAGGATTCTTGTCTGGGTTACGGCCTTGAGCTGACTGACACTTTAAACTGTGATAGGCAATCGGCAACGCTGTGATCCTGATCCTCTTCTTGTGAGGAGCATTTGTATCCTGAGCCACCCACCTGCAGGGGTGTCTGCATCACAGTTTCAGCTGGAACCAGGGCTCCCTGATTTCCACACCTGTAAATGAAGACAGAGCAAGGGGAATTATATAACTCAGATTGTCTACCTTTGTATTTTTAAATGCAAATTGTTTCAAATACCTTTGTTATTAGTGGCACAGGGCTAGAAGATTTTATTTTTTCATTTTTATGGTAACATAAAATAGCAAATTTTTTCCTCCACATTAATGACTGGTTATGAACATGACATAATCCTTTCATATAGCTCTCTTTATTTGCCACACAAACATGGTAAGTAACACTGTCATATAACAGCTTCTGATGGAAAATATACCACTGCCACAGTAGTTTCTATTGCTGAGTGTTTTTCTTCATCCTATGTAGTACCAAACTCTTCTGGAATTCTTGTATGTTGATATTGCTGCAATATCAGCACTACTTGTACCTGCCAAGACCACAGTATTATTTAATCCTTTTATGCTTCTTTTTTTCTTCCATCCTTCCAAAGTAAATAGGGTCAGGGTCACTGGCAGGCAGAATTCACAGCCCCCTAAGGTCCCACTGACTCTTGTACACAAAACATTTAGCAGTACAGTGATGCTTTCAATGGCATCATGTTGCTTTCTGCATACCTGTGTCATGAAAGATTCACTTTATGTCCTTCATCATTATTTATAATACCTATCAAGCTTAATATAAAAGTGTATCCCTTTTAGATATCTAACTTCTTTCAGGCTTGAGAAGTAAATTGCATTAATTGACATTAAAAATTCCTATTTGAAGGTATCACTTAAATAGTATTAAAACTTTCAGTAAAGTCAGTGAAACGACTGTTGCGAGAGCGAGCCAGACAATCTCCAGAGTCATTTATATCAGCGTGTAATGTGATGGGGCATGGTTGCAGTTTGTCCTTAGTGTGTGGATTTGTGTACAAATCACCTTTTAGCAGGTTTGTTGACTAAAATAGTTTTCTGGTTATCTGTAGTCTCTCAGGAAAGCAAAGCCTTCTGTCCAGCTTGCCTAAACTATTTTTCAGTGGTATTAGTTTTTTGTGTTCTAGCTCTGGTGCCTGATCTGCCTGGAATGACTGACATTCCACTGTTCTTCATGTATCTTGAATTTCTAGACACACTCAAGTGGTTTGATGTGTTTCTAAAGGGTTTTCTACTAAATAATATGGTGGAAGGTGGTATGATGATTGAAAGATTCTTAGTCTGGGTGGGGGAAAAGGAAGAAGAGAAGTTAAAAGGATTGAGAAAGAATATGCTGAGAATAAGAATTCTCTCTCTAATGTGAAAGTGGTTTTGACCAAAACCTTCTGGTTGAGCTGTTGCAAAATAAAATGAAAAAATTCCCCTCTTTGCTAAGAATTTATTGGCCACTTAGGAGCATATGCTGCAACAAAAAATAGATGTATTCCCAAGAAATTATTTCCTTTATTTTTATATTCTCATGAGGTGAATCAAGATACATGTTTTATATCCTTTCTAGAAAGGTAGCATTTCAGGTTAGAATTTGGTAGGATTTTATTATTCTACCAGAGTAGAATTTTGATTAGTTTGCTACCTCAGAAGGACTTCTTAGACGTTAAAAAAACGCCTTTGTGTGTGGGTAAATGGTTCTTACCTTTTTTAAGCCTGTCTCCAAGGCACTGATAATACTTGGAGATTTTTTTCTAATAATGCTTCCAGTTCCTGTTCTTTACAACCTCTTCTATATGATTTGATTAACAAGATAATACATTTTGGTAAGTAATCATAAGACATATATTAGAATAATAGATGAATCCTCTCCCCTTGCATTGGATTTCAAACTCTACTTACTTAAATCTGACCTCCTGGTACAATAGGAACTGCATTTCCAGCATTTTCATCAAGTCTATTTTCAACCAACTTTCACACAATAAATTCTTCTGACTTTGTTCCAGTGAGCTGATTGTCAAGATTTTGCTGACTCTCACCTCTTTACTTCTGCAGAAGGATTCCTAATACAGACAAACATTTTTGAAGAATGTCTTTCCAATGATGAATCATAGGAAGGAAACAGGGGGTGGGGGAGGGAAGGGTAGGATAGTTGTCTTGTTGTCTGCTGGTTGAAATATTGCAAACTGCTCAGATTCATACAGTGCTGATATTTCTCCCACATTCAGAGCACAATAATTCAAAAGCCAAGTAGCAGTGGCAGAGGAGTGGTGCATCATTACTGTTACTGCCTAAACCTGTTTTTCCCAGTCTCTTCATCATCCTCTTTTATGCTTTTTGAAATGCTGCATGTTGTCTCAGTATCTTCTGCTTTCAGAAATGCACCACTCTCATGGCTGTAGTAAAAAAATCTGTAGTTCCTTAGTATTCTATATCTAATCTTAGCAAAAAAATTAGAACCTTGCAAATTCTCAATAGCATATTATTATTTATAAGGAATATTTTTTTTTTTATGTGAAACACTGGAACAGGTTGCCCACAGAGGTGATCCCTGGAAACATTCAAGGTCAGATTGTTCAGGGCTCAGAGCATCCTGACCTAGTGGAAGCTGTCACTGCTTGTTGCAGGTGGGTTGGAACCAGATGACCTCTAAAGGTTCCTCTCAGCCCAAACTACTCTGTGATCCCATGATCAGATTCTAAACAATTTGGTTTTCACATATACTTTTGATTAAGCAGTCTATTTCTTGAGATAATGTAAGAATTTATGGGCATTGTAAACAAACCCACAAATACAGGAAATTCCATTGCTGAGCTTCAAGTCCCTTTTGAAAAGAAGTTTTTGAGATTTCAGGACTTAGTGATTTTATTTCTTTGATAAGGCTTTCTTGCACAGAGTATAAACTACATCTTTTTATTATCAAGTTAACATAGTGCTCTTAAACAGTGATAAAAAATACACATTAATGCAAATTATTCTTAGCCAATAAAATCCTGACAGGGATTCTGACCCATTATAACATTCTGTAGAATGGGAATGTGTTTTGTCTCCATGCTTAGTGGATTTCTTTGAGGGCTGTAGCCATTTGTGCCGCTCATGTTTCAGTCTGTTCCAGCTCTGGGTTCTGATAGCACCCAATTTTTTTTTCTGCAGATCTTCACAGAAACACTGAAATAGGGATTAAATTTTTGTTTATCTTCCTGGGGAAAATGTGTGGCTCAACTGGTTTGCCTTCTGTACTGTGTCACAGACCCAAAATAGTCCATCTCAACCTAAAAGCTTACATAGCTTTTAAACCTGCAGACATCCCAACCTGATCAAGAATCGCAGTGTAGATGAATACATCCCAAACATCTTCTTCTTTTCTGCACAGGAAAACAAAAAGTGTGTTTTGTTTGAATTTTTAATTACAATTTTAGATTAAAGAAACCCCTGAATTAAAGAAACAGTGGCATTAAAGAATGAAAACAAAATTGCTGTGGGAGGGAGCTCTGTGTGGCTGTACTTTTGTAGCTGGTGGGTGCATGGATGTGTGCACAGATCCACGTGCTGGCACACATTTCTCTTTGGTGTGTTATGAGAAGCCTTTCAGATTTGATACTTCTTGGTTATTGGTTGTTTTGGTTTTTTCAAACACTGCTTTTTGAAGGTATTTTTCATTCTCCATATGTTTCTCTCTGGCTTGCGCTGCCCGAGTCTGCCATTTTTTCCTCCTTGTCTGCATCCATACAGAAATCTGGGAATTCTGCATACACATGTCCTCCTGTGCTTCCATCATACATCATGGGAAGAAAGTAAAGGCAGAGTGGAGTTTTTCCTTTGAAGTGTTGTGTTTGGAAATTCATTTACTTCCAGCAGCAGTGATAGAAAACTGTCTTCCTTTTTTTGCTATTATTTTATTCCAAACTATTATTCCAAGTTTTTAATTAGACCAGCTTAGTCACCTTGTTCCAAAGGCTATTTACATATTGGTGTTACAAAATTGCCTCTGAACAAAGAATCCAGCAAGGTTTTGCTGTGCATTGTAATTTTCTAGGAATGCTAAAAAGAAAGACTTGGAATTTGCTTTAGATTTCCTTTAAAATAATTCAGTTTCAGCACTTAGCTTTTGGATTAACTCTGTTGATTATATCTAGTTAAAATTTGATACAGAGCACTTGAATTGAAGTGTCACTGTGAGCTGCCAAAACGAACCATTCAAGTAGTTATTATTTTTAATAACCTTATCAAAATTCTATGACAAGTACAACACAATTTCCATTTTAACTGATCCAGTATACTTTTATACCTGAAGTTTTTCTTTTGTGTCTGAATATGCATAGGATGACTACAGTTATTCAGGGATAAGTTGTTCTCTCATCTGCATGATTTAGTCCAATGAGTTTTGGAAAATACACAGTATTTGGTATATACTATATAATTTAAACTTTTTTATTCCTCAAAAATATGTGTGAAAATTATCATTTAAAAAAGCCTTTTAGGTAGCCTGATGGAAACTTCCAAGTAAGTCCAGTGTGCTGTAGTTGGGGTCTAGAAACATGATATTGAATAATTATCTTAGAAAAGAGGCCACTGCCCGAGGAAGCAGACTCACCTGGTGTTGTGCTGAGCATTGCAGTGTTTGCTGTGCAATTTATATAAAAGTTATGTAATTTTTCTCCTGTCAATTATGGCTGTGCTGTTAAGCTGTCTCCAGCAGTGCTGGATCCATAACACATTGGATTTTTTTGCACTGGATGAGTAAATGTGGCCATGAGGTTTCCTTCCCATGTGGCAAGGTTGGGGGTAGAAGGGGGAGGTTTCTGTTTTTATCACTGGCTCTTCTTCTTGAGTCTCTTGGGTCTGAAGCCCACATGTGGATGTGAGGTAGGTCATGATGGCCAAGGG